AACAATAACACTACAACAATAACACTACAACAATAACACTACAACAATAACACTACAACAATAACACTACAATAACACTACAACAATAACACTACAACACTAACTCTACAACAATAACACTACAACAATAACACTACAACACTAACACTACAACAATAACACTACAACAATAACACTACAAAAATAACACTACAGGAATAACACTATAACAATAACACTACAACAATAACACTACAACAATAGCACTACAACAATAACACTACAATAACACTACAACAATAACACTACAACACTAACACTACAACAATAACACTACAACAATACCACTACAACACTAACTCTACAACACTAACTCTACAACAATAACTCTACAACAATAACACTACAACAATAACACTACAACAATAACACTACAACACTAACTCTACAACACTAACTCTACAACAATAACACTACAACACTAACACTACAACACTAACTCTACAACACTAACACTACAACAATAACTCTACAACAATAATACTACAACACTAACTCTACAACAATAACACTACAGGAATAACACTATAACAATAACACTACAACACTAACTCTACAGCAATAACACTACAGGAATAACACTATAACAATAACACTACAACACTAACACTACAACAATAACACTACAACAATAACACTACAACACTAACACTACAGGAATAAAACTACAACAATAGCACTACAACAATAACACTACAGGAATAACACTACAACAATAGCACTACAACAATAACACTACAGGAATAAAACTACAACAATAACACTACAACACTAACACTACAACACTAACACTACAACAATAGCACTACAACAATAACACTACAACAATAACACTACAACAATAACACTACAGGAATAACACTACAACAATAACACTACAACACTAACACTACAACACTAACACTACAACAATAACACTACAACACTAACACTACAACACTAACACTACAACAATAGCACTACAACAATAACACTACAACAATAACACTACAGGAATAAAACTACAACAATAACACTACAACACTAACACTACAACACTAACACTACAACAATAGCACTACAACAATAACACTACAACAATAGCACTACAACAATAGCACTACAACAATAACACTACAGGAATAAAACTACAACAATAACACTACAACACTAACACTACAACAATAGCACTACAACAATAACACTACAACAATAGCACTACAACAATAACACTACAACAATAGCACTACAACAATAACACTACAACAATAACACTACAGGAATAACACTACAACAATAACACTACAGGAATAAAACTACAACAATAACACTACAACACTAACACTACAACACTAACACTACAACAATAGCACTACAACAATAACACTACAACAATAACACTACAACAATAACACTACAACAATAACACTACAGGAATAAAACTACAACAATAACACTACAACAATAGCACTACAATAACACTACAACAATAACACTACAGGAATAACACTACAACAATGACACTACAGGAATAACACTACAACAATAACACTACAATAACACTACAACAATAACACTACAGGAATAACACTACAACAATAACACTACAACAATAACACTACAACACTAACACTACAACAATAACACTACAGGAATAACACTACAACAATAACACTACAGGAATAACACTACAACAATAACTCTACAACAATAACACTACAACACTAACACTACAACAATAACACTACAACAATAACACTACAACAATAACACTACAACAATAACACTACAGGAATAAAACTACAACAATAACACTACAACAATAGCACTACAGTAACACTACAACAATAACACTACAGGAATAACACTACAACAATGACACTACAGGAATAACACTACAACAATAGCACTACAATAACACTACAACAGTAACACTACAACACTAACACTACAACACTAACACTACAACAATAGCACTACAACAATAACACTACAACAATAGCACTACAACAATAACACTACAACAATAACACTACAGGAATAACACTACAACAATACCACTACAGGAATAACACTACAACAATAACACTACAATAACACTACAACAATAACACTACAGGAATAACACTACAACAATGACACTACAGGAATAAAACTACAACCAAAAGCTACAACATTAAAATGACAACAATAAAACTACAACAATAAAACTACAACACTAACACTACAGGAATAAAACTACACCAATAACACTACAACAATAAAACTACAAAAATAAAGCTACAACAGTAAAATCACAACGGTAAAACTACAACAATAACACTACAACCATAAAACTGAATGCTGTGGCTTGGGTTGTCACGGATGTGGTCTGATAGAGCTGATTTAGAGTCAGACCACATTCGTGACAAGCCAAACTAAACTGTTAGCGGTATAATTGTGTTAACGTTAAGTGTCTAGAACCCTGTTCAGCACAGTGGGGTAGACAGCAGACACTGTGGGGGATGCAGCCTGTCGAGAGTCCTGGGGTGGTGCAATCCTTCATGGAAACATCAAGCGCATAGTTGTACATTGCGAGAAACAGTACACCTTTGTATCCGCTGTATTTGCCTGATACAACATATTTGAATATTGCGACAAAAGTGTGCACCATTGTGTCCGTTGGACATGACTGTTATGGACACACACACACACACACATCTCAGAGGACATGACTGTTATGGACACACACACATATCTTAGAGGACATGACTGTTATGGATACACACACATACCTTAGAGGACATGACTTATGGACACCCACACATATCTTAGAAGGCATGACTGTTATAGACGCACTCACACCTTAGAGGACACCTAAGATATGTGTGGATGTCCATAACAGTCATGTCCTCCAAGATGTCAGTTTGTCCATAACAGTCATGTCCTCTAAGGTGTTAGTGTCTGTTAGTGTGTGTGTGTTAGCGTGTGTGTGTTAGTGTGTGTGTTAGCGTGTGTGTGTGTGTGTGTGCGTGCGTGCTTGCGTGCGTGCGTGCGTGCGTGCGTGCGTGCATGCGTGCGTGCGTGTGTGTGTGGGTGTGTGTGGGGGTGGGTGGGTGGTTGTTGGTGTGGGTGGTGTGTGGGTGTGTGTGTGTGTGTGTGTATGTCCATAAATTAAATAGTTATCACATGAAATGGGTGTTTTAAACTGTGCATAATAAGGCGTACGCGCCGCGGGGCTTTTGCATAGATCACAATGCCAAACCTGAAAAACAGTTTTAACTGCTAACGTCTCATATCTAAAAGTGCGGTTTTATTACCACCAGTGTACAATGGCTTCCATAGATTGCGTCGCGGTCATCTGATGTATTATTTTTCTTGGCACTGATGCTTTCAAAAAGTTCGGATCTGATTATTGGGGATTCGAATATGTCAGTTGTTCAGTTCTTGCACATAAACTTGACATGTCGCCATGTCTTCTACCTCACCGAGATTATCCTGAATACCCCTTGGTTCAGAATTCAGCGACGAGAAATAGTCCCCCAGGTCCTGTATATCAATAGGGTTGGGGCGTTGCTGTCGTCCAGACACACGCTTTATGATGTCCCAGAAACGTTTAGAGTCTACCTCTGCTGCTGTTCCTAGGTCATTCCGTTTATATTGTACAAACTGGTTCTTCTTAATTCCACACAGTTATCTGTATTCATTGCAAACTTTGTTATACTAAATAAGGTATGAGTTATCTTTAGTTTCTTCTGAACGCATTTAAATAATGGCACCGTTCATGTTTTTTACAGAGACATTCATCATCATCGGGGAACATGTCACTCGATGCTGAACCATAACCTATCACACTACACCCTAAATGCCTAATAGGGGGCACGGGGTGGAATACTGTTAAAAGCGGCGTTTAACCCAACTGCCTCACTCACTTAATAAATCCCTAATAAATGTACAGTCACCGATTTGATAGTCAGTTTCAAATCTTCCATTCACATTATGTATATTTAGAATTAAACATCTTTCCAAAAGAGTTTTTCCGAAGTTATTTAGTAATTTTTCACACGAATATATTTCCATCTCAAATTGTGTACAAGAAATCCACTAAGTAATTATAACTTTCAACATGGTGAATAACATAGTTCTCCATATAGTCCCGCGTCACGCCGGTTCTACTGTTCATGTACAATGGACCCGTGAAGATCCGGGGTAGAACAGGTCCCCTGCAACCCATTTTTGCCATAAAAGGCGAATATGCTTGTCGTAAGAGGCAACTATAGGTATTGGGTGGACAGATTCGCTGACTTGGTTGGAGCATGTCATCATATCCCAACTGCGTGGATCGATGCTCATGATATCAATCACTGGATTGTCTTGTCCAGACTCGATTATTTACAGACCGCCGTCATATAGATGGACTATTGCTGAGTTTTGCGTTAAACAACAAACCAACCAACCAACCATGATTTTGACCACTGGATTGTCTGGTCCAGACTTGATTATTTACAGACCGCCGTCATATAGTTGGAATATTGGAGAGTGCGGCGTTAAGCAACAACCATACAAACAAACAATTACAAGTACAGCAGCTGGGTACACTTCAAGCGTACACTACAGCAAAATATCTACCCCAATTTGTCCATCTTTGTTATCATACCAGGTCGATCTCTCCGGCTGGATTATACACATAATGTAGCTCTACTGAATCTAAACATACTTTTATCCAACAGAATAGTAATAACATGTTCTCTGTAACGAACATCAATAACATATCTTACCAGTGAATATTCTCTCAAAAGTATTCCTTCCAAATACCTCCCGAACCGGGACCTTGTTGTGGCTGGTAAACAATAAAGATTATATTCTGGCAAAATGTCACTAAAGTAATATTTTATTGACTATGTTTCATATAGAGCAACACTGTCATGTTCAGATACAAACAAAAACAAAGCCAATGTCGGAGAGTGTGTTGGTTAAATTTTCTGTATTCCTTGCAATTTAAGATTGACCTTGACGGAAGCACCCGTTCCTGATCCTCAATTGACCATGTTCCACTTGAGTCGTGATCTGCGACGGGAGCCGACAACTGATGCTCATCACCTTCCAGAGTACTAGCTGCCTTGTCCTCAATAACGAGCCTGCCATTCTTATAATAGCCCCTCTTGTTCTATGATCTGAGAAAGTCAGTTTCTCAGTCGCTAATTACGAATGATTGCAAAAAAACGAGCAAAAACAATAAAAAACGTGAAAATAGCAAAAGTATCCTATATTTCCAATCATACTTTGTTGATTAGAATAGTTTACATTAAGGGACGATATGTACGGTGTAAACCCTTAATGTAAAACAAATATAAAAAATGACATTAAGGGTTGCGTTGTTTTTTCTCTTAATGTATATTTTACATTAAGAGTTAACACGTACATTAAGAGTATTTTTACATTAAGGGTTGTAACAGTGCTGTGATGGTAAACCAAGGGATATAGAGGTCGATGAATGTTGAATATAACACGTGTAGTGATTGTAAACACAGGGATTTAGAGCGTAAGCTGTGATTGTAAACAGAGGGTTGAAGAGGTCGATAAATATTGAAAATAACGCGTGCTGTGATTGTAAACACGCCACCACTTGAGTAGTCGATTCCTGCTCAAATAGATATGTCAGGTGGCTTGGGATAACTATAGTTTACATAAAAAGTGCATAGGTTAAATCCCAGTGTGCTTACATCCCAGTGTGTCCACATCCCAATTTCCTTACAGAAATTCCTGTTGGCACACTGGGAGTTCAGTTTCCTCCCTATTTATGTAAATGGACGGAACCACTATTGTGTGACTTATTTCAGCTAAGAGAAAGATGAAACATTGCACACTACAGTTTGGCAAGTCCACGCATCTATTTCTGAGCAATAACATCCACATTCGACCAATATGTGTCACGATGTACCTTGCCCTCCGAGACACACTCACAGCAACAGGTGTTTTATGTGTATGTCACAGTGTATAGACCATGCTACGTTACCGCCTTTTATGTTGCTGCCTTTAACTTTTATTTTCATTATTCGTATTTCGACCTTCACACCTTAGTTTGTAAAATCTACAGACAACGCAAGGAATATAAAATATGGAAAGTATATAATTCAGACAAAACGTCTCTTGTAAAACGAATCTCAAACACGTTACATTAATATCCAAGTTGTTTAGCAAGTAAATGCATATGAAGCGACCCCGTGGTATTTGATTGTCTAACTAAGCATTGTGTTTCTCTCTGTCTGCCTGTTTGTCTGTCTGGCTGTCTGTCTGCCTGCCTGTCTGTCTGTCTGTCTGTCTGTCTGTCTGTCTGTCTGTCTGTCTGTCTGTCTGTCTGTCTGCCTGCCTGCCTGCCTGCCTGCCTGCCTGCCTGCCTGCCTGTCTGTCTGTATGTCTGTATGTCTGTCTGTCTGTCTGTCTGTCTGTCTGTCTGTCTGTCTGTCTGTCTGTCTGTCTGTCTGCCTGCCTGCCTGCCTGCCTGCCTGCCTGCCTGTCTGTCTGCCTGCCAGTCTCTCTGCCTGCCTGCCTGCCTGCCTGCCTGCCTGCCTGCCTGCCTGCCTGCCTGTCTGCCTGCCTGTCTGCCTGCCTGCCTGCCTACCTGCCTGCCTGCCTGCCTGCCTGTCTGTCTGTCTGTCTGTCTGTCTGTCTGTCTGTCTGTATGTCTGCCTGCCTGCCTGCCAGTCTGTCTGTCTGTCGACCACACCAACTTGCAGACTACGTATACGGTTTCCCGATTGGCTGATGATATGGTGGGCCGGGTTTGGGTTGCATTGCTGCTCCGAACGACGTCACTATTGTTGTCTCCGGATTGTTTGTGTCTTCATAAATACCAGTAGATGAAGTCTGTAAAGTTATTACTGTGACTTGATTTTTATACGAACCTATTTCAACATGACATTGATCCAGGTATAAACGTAAACAGTGATGTGCACACTTTGCGTCCTCATATGAATATTCATCAATCAACGGAAGACAATAGTGAAGTCAATATTGTTTAATAACACATCCTAGTCAGCAGTACTGGTACACCATTGATCCAGCATGTCAACCAATTAGAGTACATCTTTAAGCCGTTCATGTAAGTCTCACTGTGGGACAATATTCAATAATCATATTTCCCCAAGATGGATAGATTATCCTTGTGACGTATAGCTTGCTCCGAGCGAGAAATACGAAACAATCGATGATTTTATCTCGGAATACAAGTCTGCTGAGGGCAAGTTTAAACGCCGCTCTAAAACGAGACCTGTACATTGCTGTGGCATCCATTAGAGATAGGTAAGTTTGCTATTGTCGATATACGTTTTTTATAAAAGCCACGTTTTAAACGACACATATTACATGGAATGTAGACAGTTGAATATAAAAGTCTTCACTTTCTTCCAAACCTTTTTCATCTTAACTGTTAGCGGTATAATTGTGTTAAAGTTAAGTGTCTAGAACCCTGTTCAGCACAGTGGGGTAGACAGCAGACACTGTGGGGGATGCAGCCTGTCGAGTGTCCTGGGGTGGTGCACTCCTTCATGGAAACATCAACCGCATAGTTGTACATTGCGAGACACAGTACATCTTTGTTATCCTCTGTATTTGCCTGATACAAACATATTTGAATATTGCGACAAAAGTGTTCACCATTGTGTCTATTGTATTTGTCTGATAAACACTGTCATAACTCGTATCACACATTAAATACGAGGATGTTGTGCTATAACTGTCTACTTGATAACACGTATCACACATACAATGCGAGGACGTTGCTGTAACTGTCTACTTGATAACACATATCACACATACAATACGAGGATGTTATGCTATAACTGTCTACCTGATAACATATATCACACATATAATACGAGGATGCTGTGCTGTAACTGTCTACTTGATAACACATATCACACCTACAATACGAGGATGTTGCGCTATAACTGTCTACTTGATACCACGTATCACACATACAATGCGAATATGTTATGCTATAACTGTCTACTTGATAACATGTATCACACATACAATACGAGGACGTTGTTGTAACTGTCTACTTGATAACATGTATCACACATACAATACGAGGATGTTGTGCTATAACTGCTACTTGATAACATGTATCACACATACAATACGAGGACGTTGCTGTAACTGTCTACTTGATAACATGTATCACACATACAATACGAGGATGTTGTGCTATAACTGCTACTTGATAACATGTATCACACATATAATACGAGGATGTTGTGCTATAACTGTCTACTTGATAACACGTATCACACATACAATACGAGGACGTTGCTGTAACTGTCTACTTGATAACACTTATCACACATACAATACGAGGATGTTGTGCTATAACTGTCTACTTGATAACACTTATCACACATATAATACGATGATGTTGTGCTATAACTGTCTACTTGATAACATGTATCACACATACAATACGAGGATGTTGTGCTATAACTGTCTACTTGATAACATGTATCACACATATAATACGAGGATGTTGTGCTGTAACTGTCTACTTGATAACATGTATCACACATACAATACGAGGATGTTATGATATAACTGTCTACTTGATAACACATATCACACCTACAATACGAGGATGTTGTGCTATAACTGTCTACTTGATAACACATATCACACATACAATACGAGGATGTTATGCTATAACTGTCTACTTGATAACACATATCACACCTACAATACGAGGATGTTGTGCTATAACTGTCTACTTGATAACATGTATCACACATACAATACGAGGATGTTATGCTATAACTGTCTACTTGACAACATGTATCACACATACAATACGAGGATGTTGTGCTATAACTGTCTACTAGATAACATGTATCACACATATAATACGAGGATGCTGTGCAATAACTGTCTACTTGATAACATGTATCACACATATAATACGAGGATGCTGTGCTATAACTGTCTACTTGATAACACATATCACACATACAATACGAGGATGTTATGCTATAACTGTCTACTTGATAACACATATCACACCTACAATACGAGGATGTTGTGCTATAACTGTCTACTTGATAACATGTATCACACATACAATACGAGGATGTTATGCTATAACTGTCTACTTGACAACATGTATCACACATACAATACGAGGATGTTGTGCTATAACTGTCTACTAGATAACATGTATCACACATATAATACGAGGATGCTGTGCAATAACTGTCTACTTGATAACATGTATCACACATATAATACGAGGATGCTGTGCTATAACTGTCTACTTGATAACACATATCACACATACAATACGAGGATGTTATGCTATAACTGTCTACTTGACAACATGTATCACACATACAATACGAGGATGTTGTGCTATAACTGTCTACTAGATAACATGTATCACACATATAATACGAGGATGCTGTGCAATAACTGTCTACTTGATAACATGTATCACACATATAATACGAGGATGCTGTGCTATAACTGTCTACTTGATAACACATATCACACATACAATACGAGGATGTTATGCTATAACTGTCTACTTGACAACATGTATCACACATACAATACGAGGATGTTGTGCTATAACTGTCTACTAGATAACATGTATCACACATATAATACGAGGATGCTGTGCAATAACTGTCTACTTGATAACATGTATCACACATATAATACGAGGATGCTGTGCTATAACTGTCTACTTGATAACATGTATCACACATATAATACGAGGATGCTGTGCTATAACTGTCTACTTGATAACATGTATCACACATATAATACGAGGATGCTGTGCTATAACTGTCTACTTGATAACATGTATCACACATATAATACGAGGATGCTGTGCTATAACTGTCTACTTGATAACATGTATCACACATATAATACGAGGATGCTGTGCAATAACTGTCTACTTGATAACATGTATCACACATATAATACGAGGATGTTGTGCTATAACTGTCTACTTGATAACATGTATCACACATATAATACGAGGATGCTGTGCTATAACTGTCTACTTGATAACATGTATCACACGAAGATGTTGTGAAGATGATGACAAGCGCGTCTTGACTTGA